ATGAGTCTATTTTGTTGGTCTGTCGTCATGTTCCACGGGCCACATGGATGTTCTATTTTTTTTTTTCCTGTCATTTCGTAGATATATGTGTCCATCACTACTTTTTTTTTAATTAAGTCAGCAGATAATCCGTACTGGTCTTTTAGGATGAAAGTATTGGTTAAATATTTCACTTACCGGATGTTCTAGTAACTTTTAATTATCACACTATTTCATCTAATCAAATAGAACAACTTTTATAAAAAAAATTATGAACAAACATATACTTCATTTCGTTTGTATATTTCTTTTGTCAACAGTCAATACATTTTTTTAAGTTTGGTTAAAAAATGAATCTACCATTATGAATCTACCATACTTGAAATGGAATCTAATTTTACCAAACGATTTTTTTTTAAAAAAAAATAGTGACTAGTAAACGTTCGAAAAAAGTTTATAACCAAAAAAAAAAAAACGTTCAAAGCAGCGAAGGAAAAAAAAAAGAAGGAATGTTATTATCAGAAAATAAGAGAGAGAGATCTGGACGACGAAGGAAACCAAATTATAAAAAAACTCTGACGAACAAAACTTTCTCCTCTTCTTCATCTCGCTGCATCTGATCGAAAACCCTAAATTTTTCTTTGTTCTTAGGTACCCCAATTCGTTACAATTTCCCTCGATTTTTGAACTGTTTTTTTCGAGATCTCCTTCTGTTTCCTCCCTACAACAAATATCCTCTCGATCTTCGCGTCAGGATCTGACTCCTGGTTTCGAGTTCCTTAATAACACCGGCGAGTTTCAGCGATTTCGGAAATGGCTTGGATCAATGGATTCAAATGGGTAATTAAAAAGGCATTGATTTGAAGAAATCGGGGGCATTTCTCCCCCTTTGCTAGATTTCGAGTATTTTTCCAATGGCATCAGCTCAGGTTAAGTCTAGTTCCCGGAGGCAGGAGGTCGCTGAAGCTGGACGGCGTAAGGTAGATAGATCATCTCCCTTTTTGTTTCGATTCCCTCATTACTTTGAATTTCTTCTAAATCGAACATTGCCTCGGAAAATTTGTCGGTGGTATTCAGTCATTGATCCTTTTTTTCTGGGTTTTAATCTGATCATTGGTCGCCATTTTAATTAGTTTTGAGATTGATCTTCCAACGCATGCAATCGAAATCGATAGCTCATGAAGAAGATATATCTAAATTGTGTAATTTCTGGATTTCAGCTTGAGCAGTTCCGGAAGCAAAAAGCAGCAGAACGAGCCAAAAAGGCATCAGAGAGTAGCAGCACACAGCATGTTGATAACAGCCAGCGAAATGTCGCAGATATAGATGGAGATGTTGCATCATCTATGTCTAATGGACCTCGTGCTGAAACTCATCAAGGTTCCTCAAATGAAACCCATACCAAATCCTCGTTTTCTGGTGATGTATATAATTTATCGTTTTCTAATGATGGAAGCAAAGAAAGAAGTCGGAAAGATGATGGTCAGGAATCAGTGGGCACAGTCGGTTTTTCTAGTTGCTTAGAGTTGAGAGGTTCCTCAAATGACTTAACAGTGAATAATAGGCCTGAAGTTGTACCTTATAGCAATATAGAAGACAAGCAATCAAGTGATAGTTTCGATCGTGCTTCTACTCTAAGAGAAAGTGATGGTTTTCTTAAAGGCATCTCTCCCTTCTCTGGAAGCACTCTGCTATCGACCTCGATGCAAATGGACGGTTTCATTCATGGCAGTGGATTATTTTCATCCACAAAAGGTACGTAGCTATCATAATGAGATCGATGAAGTAATGTAATTTTTCCAACCCGTTCTTCTTTTTCCTAATCAATCTTTCCGGTTTTTGTTGCTAGACTCTCTACAACCTACGACCAGGATGGCAGGGTCTATTCACGAAGTTGCCAAAAACCAACAGGGAGGTGGTGAAATAAGAGGAGGTAGCATTGTGCAGAAGCCAACTCTGTCTAGCAGTTATTTGTTTAGTTCTCCGGACATATCATCTCGAGCTTCTGAATCTTCAGATTTCAGTGTAGATATCACAAGCCCTTCACCGTTTCAGTCAGCTAAAAATGAAGTAACTGTGAAGAGATCTCGTCCTTCCTTCCTTGATTCCCTTAATATTTCAAGAGCTCCAGAGACTCAATATCAACACCCTGAGATTGAGGCAGATTTGGTTACGTCCAGTGGTTCCCGACTAACTAGCAGTGATGGTTATGGGACATCTTCACTCCAAAATTTATCAGGGAGAAGAGACAGCAATGGACCATCGTTGACAAGCGGAGCATCTGATTCTAATAAACCATTTGAAAATTACCGGAGTTCTATGTTTCCTGCTGCCAATGGAGTAATGCCAAGCTTCACTGATTTCTCCATGCCAAAACAAAATGATGATTTTACTGCTCTGGAACAGGTAAGTTACTGACTTCTAGCACCATCTGTTATTTTGTTAATGATTGTCGATATGCTACTTATTAGTTGGTAGGTTACGTTTGATTCGTTTTGAGAATTGAATGAGCTAGAGAACCGGCATCGTCTTCTCATTTAGAAGTATTAAGTGGGAAGTTGTTTGAATAATTTATGAAGATGACCAAATTATTGAAGATTTTGGATTGATGCCCCTCGCTGGTGGTTCATATTCTTTTACATTGTCGTGCATTGCTCTTTTATTTTAATCTAGGAGGCTAGCTTTCATTGTTCCTCTTTGTACACCCTTTGTTGTCCTTTGCATTTTCTGAGCTATTGTTTCATATTTCCTTTTGTAGCATATTGAGGATTTAACACAAGAAAAGTTTTCACTGCAAAGGGATCTTGATGCATCACGTGCCCTGGCTGAATCCTTAGCATCTGAAAATTCGTCGATGACAGACGCTTATAACCAGCAGGTACACGAAGACTTATGCCACCCTAGTTGGATAGTGCCCAGCGTCCTAAGTAAACAATCTTGACTATATATAGTATAGTTGACTAGTACTAGCATTTATCGCTTTTGTTCGCCAGAGTTTTCTCTCACGTGGTTTTGGGATCCATTGGAGATGCAAATATTAGAATACTTATTATTCATGATTTTGACGGATGTGGATTGAGTATCTTCTTAAAATTTTAAAGTAGTTTTAGACTATGAAATCGTTGCTGCATCACAAGTGAGACAGAGAAAGTTGTTAAAACAAATAGTTTGGAGAAGGCTCTTCCGGATGTCTACGTAATTGGCATTTACTAAGCTTATTTATTGTTGAGAGTGACTGACCTTTATAATAGTCCCAAATGCTCTCAATAATCCGTGTAATACTGTTCTCGCTTCTATCTCGTCCAGAGAAGTATTGTCAACCAACTAAAAGATGACATGGAGAAGCTAAATCAACAGATCCAAGCACAAATGGTTAGTATTAACACCCATACTCAACAAATTCCAGCTTTATGTTCTCTAACAGTATTTTTTAGTGAAGCATGATATATGAGACTCAAAATTTGTGTATGCCTGAGTATAATTCTGGATGAGTTTCTCTATGTCATGTTCTTTCATCCATTGGAGTTATTGTCTAAGATTATTCCAGAAACTGTACCTTGATTTAACACTGTTTCCTTACAGGGGGAACTTGAATCTTTCAGGATTGAGTATGCAAATGCGCAGCTAGAATGTAATGCTGCAGATGAGCGTTCTCAAATACTGGCTGCTGAAGTCATCAGTTTGGAAGATAAGGTAATAAGCGTTGACTTTTGTTCTTACTATTACATTAATTTTCTGAAAAGAGCTAACATTTTCAACTCGCTTACCTGCAAAATTGTGCAATGACAATTTTAGTTTAGTTTTTGATTTCTTAGTTGTAAGATATCTGTTTACTCTACCTTCAGATGCTCATATCCATCTTTAACTTTTTCTTGGAACATATATTAGGCACTCAGACTCAGATCTAATGAGTTAAAGCTAGAGAGAGAACTGGAAAATGCACAAGCTGAAATGTCATCTTACAAGTATGCTCTTTACTGTATTGTTATTATTTACCTGTCCATATCTTCACCTTTACTTGATGTTTGATTCGAAACGAAACATGGTATACTGGAAACTAATCTGTAAACTCTATGGCTTTTCTGGATTTATTCATCTTACCCGTTAACTTTTATAGGAAAAAACTACAGAGCCTAGACAAAGATCGTCAAGACTTACAATCTACTATTAAAGCTCTTCAGGAAGGTATGCACATTGAGATCTATTCCTCTAAACACCCATGTGATTCTATAAATTCTGTACATATCTTATATTCTTCTGCATCTTCCTTTTCAGAGAAGAAGATCCTACAGACTATGCTGCAGAAAGCTTCTTCTGGTGGGAAATCCACTGATCTTGGTAAAAACTCTAATAGCAGTAAAAACGCATCAACCTCTACAGAGGGTCTCGGTAATGGTCCTTCTATAAAATCATACTAGTAGCAGACTATTATAGAAAGCTGAAGCATATTTTGGATGTCTAAACTCATACAATTGCATCTTCGGCATCCCTATTTTTTTTAAAGTTTAATCTTTGACTTCGCACCATGCCTGTTGATGGGCTGTGTAGTCTTCTTCTAAACCTGGATACTAGTATGAACTTTAATATTTAATTATCCTTTTCTCCACTTTATTTTTGTGATGCAGCAATTTCAGATACTGTGCCAGGGAGCTCCAACAGAGAAACAGATTCTACTGCTCTGCTCGAAAGCGATTCATCTAATACAGCCATCATTCCTGAAACTGGACAGTTAACTCTTGAAGGCTTTTCACTGAGCGTCCCAGATGATCAGATGAGACTGATTCATAACATCAGTACGCTGATTGCTGAGGTAGTTTTCATGAATTATTTTGACTCTAACATATTTATGTGATGTGTCTCGTTTTTTTTTTTTTTTTTTA